CCGCTCACTGATTGGCTGGACTCCAGCCAATCAGTGAGCGGCAGGCTGGGCTTAGTGCGGGGGGGCGGGGGAGCGAGCTGCGGATGGGCGGGGGAATGAGCAAGTGAGCTGCGACGCGCTGGCAAAAGGGCGCTTTGCAGCGACAGGGGACAGGACCGGTACCGGCGTTCCCGGAAGTTAATTACTTCCGGGTTCATCGACGAACCAGTTCGTGTGAACCGGTGCGAACCGGGAGGAACCCACCCCTAATCTACTTGTGCCTTACTTCAATTTTAGCTGGCAGATAAATGATCTAATCTTTTCCTGTAGAATTCACTAAGAGGATCAAAATTCTTGCTTCCTTCAAGACTGGCAAGTCATTCAGGCCCTGAGGAAGCAAAGCATCCCCAAGCTGTGGCACTACCAGCTCCACACTTGACTAATGGTACAAAGTTCTTACAGCAGAATGTATTGTTTGATTCAATATAATAAATATAATGTAAATATAATAACACAGAAAAGTCTAAAAAGTTCCAATTCTGATTTGGTGGCAAAGATATGCAAATATCTAGATATTCTGAAATAATCAAACACTTTTTATAGAACTGTAGACATAGAAGCTGCACATTGGGATGTCCTCCAAATGTTGTGGACTCCCTGTCCCATTTGTGTCAGAAGCACTGTTTAAGGCACTTCCAGGTTGAAAGGATTAGTCGGTGACATCATCATTGCCTGGGGGGAGGGGCTCTTTTTATGTCCCCATCAAGGAGCTGAAGCAAATGACAGGAGCTCACCACACTATGCAGCAGTACATGGGTCTTGACCGCAGATGTTGCTAACTTCCAACCTGGCATGAGCCACGCATTCTAATGTTATGGATTGTGTCTCCCACAAATTCCCGATGAACAATGATCATTATTAATAATTCTGGAAGTTTCCCCTGTTCATGAAACGTATTATTTTCTCTAGTCTTATACTATAAATTTCTTATTTATAACACACAGTAGCATTGTTCATATTACTGAAATATAACTGTATACAACATTGAAACACCCATAAATATTAGACTACAACTAAGATGGTGATTATTCCTAAATATTCCAGAAATATATCAACTATTTAGCTCAATATTTAGTCTCATAATAGCAAACCTATTAGAATTATTAGTAATTTGAACTGTTACAACTTACCACTGAGTTTCTAAGCTTTTCAGGTAAGGGATCTTTGACTTCAGATAATGGATCTTCTGGGTTTTTATCTTCTGAAGTAGGAAAAAGCTTTGATTGCACTAAAGAGCTAAAATAAATACTTGTTTTAAACAAAGTCTTTACAGAAAAGAACTGCATTATTCATTACTGTATTCTAAGCAAATCTAAAGCATCCCTTTCAGTTTAACAGAAAATGAGCATTCCTTTTTTGATAAAACAAATGGTATCTATCAAAAGAGCTCTATAGCTCTTTGATATCCCCACTGTCTGGATAGTTTTATAATGCTGTAGATCTTGTGATAAAATATTATAAATTGTTTCTGTATATCCTCTACAGCAAGTTGCCAATCATTCATGGTTTCATTGAAATAGCTGAAATTTGAAAATGTAAATGAATGTTACCATTTAATGATTACACATTTATCTTTTGGATATCATCAGAAATGTTTCAGTTGAATATGTCAAACTATCTGTCAGTAAGTTCAAGTTCTTTGTGTAATTTTTAGCTGACTGTTCGTATGCAAATAATTCCTACAATGCTCTGACCGCGTCTTAAATTTATTTATTTATTTAGAAGATTTATATCACTGCCTATCTTAAGTAACCCTAGGCAGCTCACAACTACAGTAAAACAAAGTTATAAAAGATTGTTTTATGACAGGAAATAATGATAAAAACAGTAAAGCAGTAAACAAAAAATCTGTGCCTTAATCATCTCCTTAGGATACTCCATGGTAGGCTCCAGTTGTCCATATTCCAAACTATATATATATGAGGTTTTAGGAGAGGGATTCTTTGAACGAGGGGGAGGCATCAAATAGGGACTTAGTCTAGAATCTCTATGTAGGCACAAGAAGGCAAAGCCCAACCCTTCCTTGAATACCACTGAACTTTATCTAGCCTCACCTAGGTGCAAACAGTGTGAGAAAATCCCTGTGTAGAGGCTTGAGCAATAAAACAGTTAATTGAACTCTTCAAAAGTGGGTTGTTTGTTTATGCCTGACAATAATACAATCCTATACCAGCACCTTGGTAAAATGGAAAAATGCCAGGTCTTAATTTCTTACAAAAGGCTAGAAGGGTGGGCACCTATCAAATTGCTGAGGAGAGGGTGTTCCAGAAGATAGGGGCAATCACAGAAAAGGCATGCTTCAAATGTCCCACTAGATGACAAGATTTTAGGGAGGGGACCAGGAGCGTGCCTACCCTATCTGATCTAGTGGAATGGGTAGATATTCTTAGGGAGAGGTGATCCTACAAATAACTAGGGCCATACAAGGTGCATTGCAAAAATGCAACTGGGAAGTGACTAAGGCATTAGTGACCATGAGGAAGGCCTTTCAGGCCTTTTACATATACAAATGCTTCAGAATCATCAAAGTTTATGGCAATGATCAGAGTAACCTGGTATTTTTAAGGAAGAAATTTCAATGCAGCAAAGAGCTGCAATTCCAATCCTATATCTATTTACTACTAGTTCCAAGTGAGTTAAGGTAACTTATTCATAGAAGTAGCTTTAGGCTTTAAAAAAATTAATTTCGTCTATATTCCTCAATCTGAGAAGCAAAATTGATGTAATATAGGAACAGGAAGACATCACTTACAAAAGGACAGAAGGGTCACTACTTTGTCGGCTGAGATGATAGGAAATTGCCACTAATGTACCACAGAATACTGAAAAAAGCACTGGAATATGTTGACCATCCCAAGAATCCTGTAGATAAACATGTATTCCCTTATCAGAATGATTAAGTCAAATTATAGTGTAAAAGATAATTTTTATTTTAAAATTGTTAGAAATTCTGAATTAAAAATAAGTAACATCAATTGCATAGTGGTAAACCACAAGTTTATTTTTGATTAATACAAAACAAAGTAATGAAATGTAAATGTCTATGGAGAGTCTCAATCATCCAGTCACGGTTGTTCCAAAGGGGCTTTTTCCAAAAAGTAACTGGACTTTGATTTTTTTTTCTTTTGAAAATGTTTTGCTTCACATGGTGAAGGGAATTAAAGAAGTTTCTTGAATGGGAAGCAAAATGTTTTCAAAGCAAAAACCAAGAAGTCCAGTTGCCTTTTGGGAAAAGCACCATTGGGATAATGAAAAGTAATCACAAAATATTCCAACTCCAGTGTTTTAGGAGTCATAGAATTCCAACTGAGAGCTCTGAAACAAGGCACACACTACTCAATATAAAGATCAGAAAGCATATGGAAGCATTATAATTTCCTGGGAAAAATAAATAAGAACTTTGGAAGGAGCAAATCTCTGTATTTAAGTCACATACAGACTATGCTCTTCCAAATTAAAGAAAAATCAGAACAAAGGCAAATGAACGTTTTCAAAAAGGACATGGTCACTCATGAGGAATTATATATACAGGGTGAAAGGATAATAAATGACCACAACTTCTGCTTTTCAGCAATTTATATTCAACAAGCATTTTCTCTAAGTCTGGAGACCCATGTAGCCATGTCTATACATCTGCTGTATGACGCTCCTGTTAAAATTGGGATATAAATCTGCTATTTTTGAAAATTTTCCATGTTATAAAAAAGAAGAATGAAGCAATATATTTCCATATGATCCAAATTCTCAAGCTTCAGAATGTAAAATTTAGAATTCTACATTAATTAATTAATTAAATTATTAATCAACGATCAACATTAAGAATTTAGCAGATTAAGGGCTAAATTAATTCTGTATGTAATCTTTTACTTCTTTTTTGCTAGGATTAATTTATTGTAATAATCACAATATGCCTAGAGAAAAAGATTTTTTTCTCACTATAAATCATTATTGCATTTTTTTCTTTATAGTGTTTTAGTTCTTTGTATTACAATATTATAATATAATAATACTAGCACACTGAACTTTCCTAAAGTAAGGAATTTACACCTACTATCAACAAATATTCGAAATATATTTTCTTATATAAAGAGGTGAGATTTTTGTCTGCACCTTGAAACTATTTAAAATTACTTTTATTGGAAGATCCTGGGTTTCTGTATTGTATGAAAAACAATGATGTTATCTCCATGTATGATATAAAACAATGAAATCAGATGATAACTGCATTTATCTATTTTACAAAAAAAAAAACCAGAATATAACAATTTTAAATCTAACTGTACTGTATAAAAATATAGCACTAATGCTATTACTCACCTTTAGGGCCCCATAACACAATCCATATAATAACGCTACGGCCACAATACTACAAATAAAACTGTAGAGTGCTGCAAGGAGGCTTGTCGTGGCTAGATAATAATATGACAATAAAGAATAATAAAAAATGAATAAAACATTATCTTGATGTAAAAATTAAGCATTCATTATTCTGAAGTTTATTTTAGGTATGTCTTTGGTTATAATTTTTTTTAATGAATTCACTTTCAGCAAATATTTTTTAACACCTTCTTAGTTTAATCAAATATAAATTATTATTCCTTCTCAAATAATATAGAGGTAGTCCTCGAATTGCAACAGTCCGTTTAGTGACTGTTCAAAGTTACAGCAGCATGAAAACCATTTTTAACACCACTTTTTGCATTCATAACTGTTACAAGCATCCCCATGGTCAAGTAATCAAAATTCAGATACTTGATAACTGACTCATATTTATGACAGTTGCCATGTCCTGGGATCATGGGATCATCTTTTGCAACCTTTTGACAAGCAAACTCAATGGAAAAGCCAGATTCACTTAACAACCACGTAACTAACGTTAACAACTGCAAAGATTCATTTAATAATTTTGGCAAGATAGATTATAAAATGGGGCAAACCTCACTTAACAAATGTCTCACTTAGCAACAGAAATGTTGGGCTCAACTGTGGTTGTAAGTTGAGGACTATCTGTATTCTTAATAGAAGTACTATAATTAGAAGAGATTTCTGGAATTCTGGAGAATTCATCAGATCATGTATAACATTATTCTGGTGCATGAAAAGTTCATATCCATTTTTTTGTTTGTTAACAAATTTTGAGATATTGCTCTCAAATTAATCAATTGCTTGGTTAACGCTGGGACAATGAAGAGCAGACATAATGCCAAAAAAGAATTAGGTTGCTGCAGTGGTTAAGGCACAAGTTAGAAACCATAACACTGTGAGTTCTAACCCTGTCTTAGACACAAAGCCAGCAGTGTGACTTTGAGACAGTGACTCTCTTTTAACCCCAGGAAGGCAGCAATGGCAAACCATTTCCAAATATCTTGCAAAGAAAAGTACAGGGACTGGCAATGCCTAAGGTCAAAAGTGACTTGAAAGTGTGTATGTGCCTGCATGTGTGCAGGCACACATATACACAATACCAAAGGTTGGCATAGAACAGCAAAATTCAAGTGAACCCTGACTTATGCATTTCATCCTTAACTTTCCTAACTTGTAGCAGACCACAGTCTACTTTTATATTACAATTGATATGTTATGGTTTTCCTTTTTGCCCCGCCCCCCCAAGCTGAGTACTGTAGAAAAAAATAAATAAAACTATGAATAAAACCAATGAACTACTACATTACACTGAAATATGGTTAACATTATGCTTGTTTATATAAATCAGTACATAACTATTTGATTATTAATCATTTGTTCAGCAACCATTTGAAGTTACAAACATGCCAAAAACAGTGAAAAGCAGTTTTTTTTCCAATGGGAAAGGAACAAGGCATGGCTCAGAAAGCCACAGGTAGGAATAGTTTCCTGGAAAAGCTGCTTGCAAAGGGGCCTATTTGTGCCAGAATGCTCTTGCTGGCTTTGCACAAAAGGATATTTATAAGAATACATATTGCCTCTTTTCACTAAGCTGGTTCCTGGAGAAGCAACTTGCAAACACTATATGCTTTTCCTGGAGTGCTTTTGCCAATGGGGCTTCTTGGTGCAAAAGGACAGGACAGGCACACTTCATTAGCAGCAGCAGCAGTAGCAAGAAGACCAAAAAAGGTAAGCTGGGTATCAGGGGTCTCAGAATTCATAAATATAGGCAGGTGGGAAGGGGAGCTGCTTACCTTTCTAAGGTTTGGTGGTGGGAAGGACAAANGGGATAATGAAAAGTAATCACAAAATATTCCAACTCCAGTGTTTTAGGAGTCATAGAATTCCAACTGAGAGCTCTGAAACAAGGCACACACTACTCAATATAAAGATCAGAAAGCATATGGAAGCATTATAATTTCCTGGGAAAAATAAATAAGAACTTTGGAAGGAGCAAATCTCTGTATTTAAGTCACATACAGACTATGCTCTTCCAAATTAAAGAAAAATCAGAACAAAGGCAAATGAACGTTTTCAAAAAGGACATGGTCACTCATGAGGAATTATATATACAGGGTGAAAGGATAATAAATGACCACAACTTCTGCTTTTCAGCAATTTATATTCAACAAGCATTTTCTCTAAGTCTGGAGACCCATGTAGCCATGTCTATACATCTGCTGTATGACGCTCCTGTTAAAATTGGGATATAAATCTGCTATTTTTGAAAATTTTCCATGTTATAAAAAAGAAGAATGAAGCAATATATTTCCATATGATCCAAATTCTCAAGCTTCAGAATGTAAAATTTAGAATTCTACATTAATTAATTAATTAAATTATTAATCAACGATCAACATTAAGAATTTAGCAGATTAAGGGCTAAATTAATTCTGTATGTAATCTTTTACTTCTTTTTTGCTAGGATTAATTTATTGTAATAATCACAATATGCCTAGAGAAAAAGATTTTTTTCTCACTATAAATCATTATTGCATTTTTTTCTTTATAGTGTTTTAGTTCTTTGTATTACAATATTATAATATAATAATACTAGCACACTGAACTTTCCTAAAGTAAGGAATTTACACCTACTATCAACAAATATTCGAAATATATTTTCTTATATAAAGAGGTGAGATTTTTGTCTGCACCTTGAAACTATTTAAAATTACTTTTATTGGAAGATCCTGGGTTTCTGTATTGTATGAAAAACAATGATGTTATCTCCATGTATGATATAAAACAATGAAATCAGATGATAACTGCATTTATCTATTTTACAAAAAAAAAAACCAGAATATAACAATTTTAAATCTAACTGTACTGTATAAAAATATAGCACTAATGCTATTACTCACCTTTAGGGCCCCATAACACAATCCATATAATAACGCTACGGCCACAATACTACAAATAAAACTGTAGAGTGCTGCAAGGAGGCTTGTCGTGGCTAGATAATAATATGACAATAAAGAATAATAAAAAATGAATAAAACATTATCTTGATGTAAAAATTAAGCATTCATTATTCTGAAGTTTATTTTAGGTATGTCTTTGGTTATAATTTTTTTTAATGAATTCACTTTCAGCAAATATTTTTTAACACCTTCTTAGTTTAATCAAATATAAATTATTATTCCTTCTCAAATAATATAGAGGTAGTCCTCGAATTGCAACAGTCCGTTTAGTGACTGTTCAAAGTTACAGCAGCATGAAAACCATTTTTAACACCACTTTTTGCATTCATAACTGTTACAAGCATCCCCATGGTCAAGTAATCAAAATTCAGATACTTGATAACTGACTCATATTTATGACAGTTGCCATGTCCTGGGATCATGGGATCATCTTTTGCAACCTTTTGACAAGCAAACTCAATGGAAAAGCCAGATTCACTTAACAACCACGTAACTAACGTTAACAACTGCAAAGATTCATTTAATAATTTTGGCAAGATAGATTATAAAATGGGGCAAACCTCACTTAACAAATGTCTCACTTAGCAACAGAAATGTTGGGCTCAACTGTGGTTGTAAGTTGAGGACTATCTGTATTCTTAATAGAAGTACTATAATTAGAAGAGATTTCTGGAATTCTGGAGAATTCATCAGATCATGTATAACATTATTCTGGTGCATGAAAAGTTCATATCCATTTTTTTGTTTGTTAACAAATTTTGAGATATTGCTCTCAAATTAATCAATTGCTTGGTTAACGCTGGGACAATGAAGAGCAGACATAATGCCAAAAAAGAATTAGGTTGCTGCAGTGGTTAAGGCACAAGTTAGAAACCATAACACTGTGAGTTCTAACCCTGTCTTAGACACAAAGCCAGCAGTGTGACTTTGAGACAGTGACTCTCTTTTAACCCCAGGAAGGCAGCAATGGCAAACCATTTCCAAATATCTTGCAAAGAAAAGTACAGGGACTGGCAATGCCTAAGGTCAAAAGTGACTTGAAAGTGTGTATGTGCCTGCATGTGTGCAGGCACACATATACACAATACCAAAGGTTGGCATAGAACAGCAAAATTCAAGTGAACCCTGACTTATGCATTTCATCCTTAACTTTCCTAACTTGTAGCAGACCACAGTCTACTTTTATATTACAATTGATATGTTATGGTTTTCCTTTTTGCCCCGCCCCCCCAAGCTGAGTACTGTAGAAAAAAATAAATAAAACTATGAATAAAACCAATGAACTACTACATTACACTGAAATATGGTTAACATTATGCTTGTTTATATAAATCAGTACATAACTATTTGATTATTAATCATTTGTTCAGCAACCATTTGAAGTTACAAACATGCCAAAAACAGTGAAAAGCAGTTTTTTTTCCAATGGGAAAGGAACAAGGCATGGCTCAGAAAGCCACAGGTAGGAATAGTTTCCTGGAAAAGCTGCTTGCAAAGGGGCCTATTTGTGCCAGAATGCTCTTGCTGGCTTTGCACAAAAGGATATTTATAAGAATACATATTGCCTCTTTTCACTAAGCTGGTTCCTGGAGAAGCAACTTGCAAACACTATATGCTTTTCCTGGAGTGCTTTTGCCAATGGGGCTTCTTGGTGCAAAAGGACAGGACAGGCACACTTCATTAGCAGCAGCAGCAGTAGCAAGAAGACCAAAAAAGGTAAGCTGGGTATCAGGGGTCTCAGAATTCATAAATATAGGCAGGTGGGAAGGGGAGCTGCTTACCTTTCTAAGGTTTGGTGGTGGGAAGGACAAAGCTTAGAATGATTCAGATTGGGGTGGGTGCTCAGCTAACAACTGCTAAAATATACTTAACGACAGTGGTGGGTTTCAAAAAATTTTCAAACCTACTCTGTGGGTGTGGCCTCCTTTGTGGGAGTGGCTTGCCGGCCATGTGACCTGGTGGGAGTGGCTTGCCGGCCATGTGTTCTCTTTCTCTCTCTCTCTCTCTCTCTCCTTCTTTTTGTCTCTCTGTCCCTTTTTCATTTTTTTCTTTCATCTCTGTCTCACTTTTTCTTTTTTTCTTTTTTTATTTCTTTCTTCCTTCCTTTCTCTTTCTCTTTCTGTGTGAGTGTGTGTGTGTGTGTGTGTGTGTGGTGGGTTTCAAACATTTTTGGAACCTCTTCTGTAGGTGTGGCCTGCTTTCTGGTGGAACCTCTTCTAACCGGTTCGGTAGATTTGACGAACCGGTTCTACCGAACTGGTGCGAACTGGTAGGAACCCACCTCTGCTTAACGATGACAAGGGGAATTGCCAGGATTGTCACACTAATCTCACTTTATGAGCATATTGGTTAGCGATGGAAATTCCATTTCCAATTGTGGTTGTAAGTCAAAGACAACCTATAATCTGAAAAGGCTAAAATGATGATACACTGAAAACTGAGAGTTTGCATAAACACTCAAATTATTTTTAGAAACCCACTGAAAAGTTTTTTACTGATTATATTTCATATAATAAAATGGTTTTACTCACCGTTGCCACCAAAGACATGAATATCTAATTGTTCACAGAGGTACATCACAAATGTGTTCACCTGAGGCAGCAGACCAATGAAGAATACTATAGGGAAGCATAGTATAAACACTATAGGAGACAAAAACAATAAAAAGCAGTAAGTACATAAAGAATTGCTAACTGATTTTCCACATTTGTACCACATTATAAAGCTACTTTTCTAACACTGTCAAACTGTGAACAGTCACTAAACAAGATAGCCATTTAACAAAGACTACCTATACTGTTCTTTTCCCTATGTCTTGATTATATTTTCTAGCATCTAAATCCTGTATATTCACTTAAACTCTTTGTACTGGGACCTCCTTGAAACTGGTGTAACACTTCATCTTATTTAAAGAGAAAGACAGAGAGGGAGAGACTAAAATAGAATAATTAGGTTCAACAGAGCAAAGATGACACAGTAAGCAATCAGAACGTACATCAGGGATGGGAGAACCTAGCAACCTCTAGACATTGCTACTTGGGATGGCTGCAATTTTGGTTCAACAGCATCTGGAAGGCTACAGGTTTACCAGCCCTTACTTAAATGCACCAAATAGGAAAAAAATCACTCACCCATTATCAAGTCCCTTGCTGAAAGCAGCAATATTGGATTCGTGAAAGCCATTCCATATAGTTGGAACCGTGCAGTAAAAGTGCTCTTGCTGCCATAATCCAATAGCCAAATGAGACTGCAGCATATACAGAAGTAAACAGGCCTGCTGTAGGCGATGATTCGGTTATGACCCTGGAATACAAGTTTGAGTACTGCAACTTAAGTTGTAAACCATAACTACACCTTTCTTTAAAAATCAGTTCTGAAATTTCATTTCGCATGCTAGTTCCACTGAAGACAGAATTTATATGCCTTTTTCTAGGTGAAGGAATAGGTTTCCCCACCACCACCACCATTCCAAAAGACATTGCACACTATTATTTTAATTCTGTATCAATTACATCAGCTTCATACTCCAAGGAACAAAGATTCAAGTAGCATTGATTTTCAGTTCTAAACAACAGCTTATTTTCTGCTATCATTAGATTATTATTTTTTTGCAGCTTCTACTAAAGTAATAGAAATTGCCTTAACTCTTTTGTGACTTTATTGAATTCCTATCAGGCACTGTTAAAATAAATATTGCTGCGTATGTGTATTGTTTTTCTAGTTTCTGTAGTTAACACTCCAAAAACTTTCTATTTAGAACAGGGGTGTCAAACTGGCAGCCCACAGGTCGAATGTATCACAGGCCACATCCACTGCGGTTCCGCAAAGGCAAAAAAGTCATGATAAGTCACCTAACATCACGTGATGTGATTGAGTTTCACACCCGTGATTTAGAAAATCACCTTCTTTTTTAGTCGATTTAATTAGTACATTTTGAACTGTAAATTGGCCATTTGTAGGCATATCATATACTGTATAGATTTTTTTAAAAAAACCTTCAATGTTTTTAAAGTACAATTTCTTCTTAATGGCAATATTTTTTGAAACAACGGCAATAGATGCAGCAATTTTTGATTTATTACACTACATAAAGACCAGATGGGAAAACTTACATGTCGAGGTGATGAAGAATCTGGCTGAACGCTCTGAAAAAGTGCAAAGATAGCAGGAAAATGTTATTGTTGCTTTGGTATCTCCTAAAATAATAATCTGAACACATGGTGTTTAAAATGACTTCCCTGGACAGATAAAACTATCAGGAGAGCATTTTCCAACTATGAAAAAATATTTCTCAACTATTATCCAGAGCAAACAGGAATTAAAAAGTCTATCATAGTTTGGATATGTCTAATTGCAACAGAAAATAAATACAACTCTTAAAACAATTTTTGGTGGGGAAAATGACCATTTAGTGGTCTCTCAAGGGAAACGATGTAGCTTGTTTTCCCCTGTTTTTTTCCACATCGAAGGAGGAGACCAGGAAAATCTTAGACATTCTGTATGGATGTACAGTCAATTTCTGTAAAATATCATAATGTGACATGAAGAATTCAGAAATATACAAAAAAGTGTAATCAACAATAGGAAGAACACACTGGTTTTCTGTGTGGGTTGCCATAGAAAGGAAAACTGTGTTGCTTCCTAGGGGGGAAAAACCAAATTCACAGTCATGCAGTAGCTTCATTTGGGACAATTCAAATATCTCAAATTGTGAGTGGGCTTTTGAATTATTTAGAAAACTTCTGGATATTTCTTTTTTAAAATATTACCCAATGTGGTTTTTAACAATTTGTAAGATTGAAATTTCTATGAATCTCACTTAAAAAAAATTACAGAATGAATAATATTCTCAAGTGTTAATAATTGCCTGTCTCACAAGATACTACATCCATATACATTAATATTTCCTGTGACACCTCAAAAAGAGGATTAGTGGCTTCTTAATCACGACTATAAGAAGAAGCCAGAATCACATTGAATCTAATAAAATATATTTTGAAATCCACACTTGTTCTACAAACCATAGTTTATGCAAACTCCTCAGCTATGGCTGGTTTACACTTAAAAGGCAAAATTAATTTATTTCAATTTCCTTCTCTGGCATATTTTTTAAAAAAGGAACTGAGAGGAATATGAAAAGATTTGTTGGCATTTTGGGAATAATTATTCTGCTCTCCCCTTCAAGGTGCTCTTTTAATATCTTTATTCAAAAATAAACTATAAAACAGGGGCATCTTTTGAAAATACTGTATATTAACTCACATAGTAAGACAACTTTAATCATTTAAAACCACGCAACCGTGAGGATAAAACATTACCTTCAGCAAAGAGTACTGGCAGCTGGCAATCACCAAACAAAATTGGAAGACCCATATGTCCTTGAAGAAGCCTTCTATAAGGAGTACAGAACCTAGGAAAGCCACCTGGATAGCTAGAATGACAGCTAATACATTTTCCAAGATCTCACGATTCCTATGACAAAGAGATGTATATATTAGCAAAATGCTACAACAGGAACAAAGAATGCAAGAAAGCAGAACACATCAAATAACTATTATTATGCATATTTAAAAGACACATCTGTTATTTTTGGTTTTGAAATACAGTTTAGTTATAATCAGCCACATTTTCCCTTGAATTCAAGTGAACAATCTGTTCTATTAAATATATCCAATTTAATCAAATCATCTGGCAGTCCAAATCTTATCAAGAAGAAACCACCACTTCCTCTTTGTTTTCTAGGTGTTTTTTTTCTAATTAACAGTAAATATTTTGTTATTATGATCTTGCTCATTTCTCAGTAAACTATTATTTGGGTAATTGTACTCCTTAATGCTTTGATACTTCTAGAATTCTTTAGATTTCTTTCCAGGCAGACTAATAACCTAAACATATTCTATGTTAGAACAGTATAAAGCATACAGGACTTACCTGTCAAACAAAGCCAAAAGAGTCAATCTATCAAAATTGATACCAATCCAGACTTTGGGTAAGATCCAAAAGCGATAATAGTGTTTCACTTTTTGTGATGGCTCCTCTTGTGGTTGTAGATGGTCCTGCAGATCAGGACTTAGGTCCATGTCTTGATGCTCCAGAAGATCGGTATCTATGGTCAACAGTCTGTTCAGTCTGATCTGAGGGAGGGAAAGCTACAATAACGTTAATAAGATTTTGCTTTCATATTTAGCTTCTTCAGTCATATTTTGAAAGAACATAAATGTTAGGGGAGAGATCCTGCTAGATGATGACTACTTGATTACCTGCCATCTTTATAAGACTCTATAAGCACTGGGTAGAGAGCTATCTCTGGAAGAGTTATTTGAATGACAACTGCTTATGACCATTTACTTAAAAACACTATGGGTATGCCACAGGATATCTGGACTGGCTAATTGTCTCCAACAAGAAATACAGATCTTTCCCAAAGTTAAATAAAATAGCAGAACATCTGAACCATAAATTTCAGGTGATTAGCCTGAATTTAATTGGAGCAGCTAAGTTTAGAATATAAAATTATATATAATTTACAACAAATAGTAACAAATGCAAAAACTTACTAAATCATGTGGGTAAAAACGAACTGAGGTAGAACTTGATACATGAGAATCCGTATCACTGAAACAAGAAGACAAGTTTAGTTGGATGCTTTAGTCTGATTTCCAATTCAATTCAGTTTTCTGTTTTCGAAAAGAGAACATTACCCCAATATGCTCATACATACTAGCATACACATTATATTGAAGCTAATATTTGATTTTGGCAGAATATCTATTTGAGCCATAGGCCAGGATTTTCTCTTTCTTTATGATGCATGCACACATATAACAATAATATTGGTGTGTAGTTCCCAATTATTATTCAATCATAACTATTAGATTCAATACATAACCTCTGATATTATACAATATAAATCAAAAACATTTGCTGTTAGTATCAAAATGCAATCCTACAAATATTATCCATTTATAAATTGGTATTACTGCAAAAAACAAGAGCAATTACTTTCAAAAACACACCAGATGTTAGATGTTCTTCTTGCAGCTGGCTCAAAATTCACAAGCGACATATCGCAGCCCCCCTTCTCATAGAGTGTGGAACTGAACTTACCTATTGAAGAGAAAGTCAAGATAGATTAAATATTATGAAATCTTTGAACATTGTAGCAACAATCATATTGTTATTTACAAACATACACATTTAAAAATCATGAATATGGCAATATTTTTATTAGATAAATCCCTCAAAAGATATTATAAACAGGATTAGTGATTAAAACACATGGGCACTTATGAAACTCGCTAATTTATATACCCATTTTTCATTTTCCTTGTATGGCATAGTTTGTTAACACAAACATTAAAAACACAACATCAAGACAATTAAAATAATGGAATTTTTTTGTTTACAAATTTCACCTTATTCGGCTTACCAATTCCTACGTGCTTTCCTGTAGGAAACAGCTCATAAATTGGACTTATGTATTTGCAGACAAATAATTAAATAATTAAACAAACAAGAGAGGGAAAAGAATTTCTCTTGTATAGTATTTGAATGTGAGACCATTCAGTGAAATTAATTGACAATATGCTTAAAACAGACATAAGGAAGTGCTTGCTTCTTTGCATTAGTGTATGTAATTTGCTGTCATGATAACTCTATTACTTGATGAAAACATGGGAAACCTGCTTCCATTAAAACTATATATTAGCAACCCATGATTATTAGCTACTGATAGAAACAATTACTAAATGGTTTCTAACTCAGATATCCCTAATAAAGGAATAAAGGAAAGAAAAATGCTTGATTCTAAGTTCCTACCTACTGTAAATAAAATGGACTAAATCTTTGTATGCTAACGCTGTGTCTATGTGTGTGTGTGTGCGTGTGCATGTGTGTGTGCATAGTATGAAAATATCACACACTGGAAATGTTAAATTATTATTTGCCATAGAGAAAATGCAAAGTGTACACCTTTTTGATGCATGCAATTCTGGGAATTGCAATGTTCTCAAATGATCCCCAATGTTGATGAGGGCAAAGTTTTCCAACTCTGTCTTTTTTTTTTTTTTTTTTTTGCAATTTGAGGATTTTGTGGGACTTTAAAGGGTGAATTGTAAAGGCCCAAGATCACTGCATCACTTAAAAATCTGATTAAAACTAGTGAAAAATCACATTTTTGTGATTGTTTTTTATGGGACACAATACATTTCTGCATTTAGCCATTAAGATCTAACTAAATCCCTCAAAAGACCTTGTGTCATATTCATTCTGGTGATTTTCTTGTTTCAGTTATTCTTCTGTCTGCTGAACCAAATCAAATCCATTAAACCACAGATTTAAAGAATTAGCAGTGCTTGCTTTTTATCAGCAGAGGGAGATAAAACTCTGTAGCTCTATAGAGTCGAATTCTTCAGTTACTAAATTGTTACTAAACAATGATAGAATGAAATTTAAAAAATAATAAAACAGAAAAATGTAGAACAAAAAGCCTCCACTTTTCAAGTATAGCCACTGACATGCTGTACAGAGTTCATGGCAACTTTTGAGCAAATAGACCAGTGATTCTCAACCTTCCCAATGCCGTGACCCTTTAATACAGTTCCTCATGTTGTGGTGATCCCCAACCATAGAGGAGCGGTATCTCGGTTCCCAAGACCATCGAAAATATATGTTTTCCAATGGTATTAGGCGACCCCTGTAAAAGGGTCATTAGACCCCCAAAGGGGTCGCGACCCACAGGTTGAGAACCACTGAAATAGACACTCTACATTTTTTTTAATATAATATGCATATGATTCCTTTGAAAGTGCACATTTCATTGTTTGAAATAGGAAATTGTAGGAGTCATAGTCTCCATTAAAACTCTTTTCAGAAGAAATCCAGGGGTCACCATAGTTTGATTTCAATACGGAACAATTACATACAAACATGCATGGCTATCATGTTCTTCCTGTTCAAGAAATGCAAAATTCACAAAAAATAATACATCATAAGTCAAAAAATTAAAGATGTGAGATTAAAAAAATAGTAGTAGTATAAAATTACTTCACAAACATAACATTGCCTATATTTCTCCATACCTTTCTAGCTTTGGAAAACACATTCATCTTCTACTGCATCCTTACATAGATTCATATATTGCTTTCAGTTCTTTAAACTTCTCATCTCTTTCTCAGAATCTCATCAATTCTATCCAACCATGCTTATTCCTCTCAACTAATTCATTCTTCCTTCACATATTTATTTTGAATTCATTTAGCCTATATAAGCACATTAATTCAACTTATTTCTTTCATGCTGATCATGGCATGTTATACTTTATAATCCAATGTAGGCCTTCACTTCATTGAATATATTCCTAAATTCTAAATCCATAATATCAAGCCATCTTTATTACACTCTTAATTGTTTTTCTCATTTTCCATGGACACATAATGCACTTCTTTCTTTTATTTGTTGATTAATACTTTTTAATAAAGTAGATATCTTGGTTATATTCCAAGTTGTAGATGACTCCTGTAATCTTAAATCTATCATAAATTTGCTTAGTAAGAAAAAAAATGTAGATGTGGTTACCAGCTTTAATTGCAAACATACCATGAGCATCATCTTATGTTAATAGTAAGGACAGGATTTTTTTAGTTCATCTTTGTCAAACTGCTATAAGTGCTGTTGAAGTTCAGTTTTACCCTAAGAAAGTTGATGCTATTTCAGTATATGCAAGATAGTTTCTAAATTAGAAATTGCAAGCTAATATGCTATTGCAAGCATTCCACCAGCTAGAAAGTACATGCAGTCTATCAACATAATTCAGAATGTTATAACAACTGTATTAAGTGAATAAAAAATAGAAAAATAATAATTTATAAAACTGACTTTATATCAGCTTTCCAACTAGTTCCTAGTTTAGCCCATACCAATTACACAGGATTATCATTTGTAGATACAAATCCTTTTTGCCTCGTTGCTTACATTGACAAAAAAACAAATTCAGATTACCAGCTGCAAAATTCTGTGAAAGATTTTTAAAAATAAAATCAAACCCAGGCCCTCAAATGTTTTATTGTCTGTCTGTCTATCACAGCTATCTTCCATACTTCTAAATCTCCCATCTCCCTCAAAGAAGGGCTCTGATCTTTTGGTCTCGCAAGCCAGTAATTTATTCATATTGATAAGGATGGCAAACATATTGGCTTTGTTTTGAGAAGAGTACTAGCTGAGCAATTACAATACAATACTTACTCAAAACTTCCCCAATTAAGGGCAATTTATACAACACAATTTCACAGAATTAATTCACTTATCCCTCCCTAGATTCCAAACACTGACAGGAGGAATTTGTAGATATGACTATGGATCTGATGCTGAACAATACAGCCTGTTCATGATATCTTTAATCTTTGTTCATGAGCTAGGACATAATCTCAGAATGAGCCAATGCAATATTGTGCATTTAAGTTATGGCAAAGCTATATTAAATTTCAAAACTTGTAGCAGTAGAACATCATCCAATTTGGGAGTGTAACACAGATAATCCTAAACTTAGAATCCCTCCGACTCCAAAGCTCCATATGATCTCCCACTAATGGTTTTATTTAGATATAAGTAGCACAGATGAAGAAATGGTATTCTGTGGAACACCATGCATGGGTGAATGACTTACCCACGTCATATAGCACCATTAAAAAAAAATCTAAATTTAATTTTATTCTCCAAAGCAGAGAGAAAAAATAGAAATATGTGTTGCTGCTACATTTTGGATATCTAAACACTTGAAAACAAACACCTGGTACCTGGCTGACAATATACTTGATGACTTTTTAGCACTTCCCTACAAACAGTGAGATATGTCACACCTATAGTCACAATAAAAGTAATGTAAAGGTATATGAATGAATTTAATAGTGGAAACCAGATTTCTCTCTCAATAGTGCATAGATTTATTTTTTATTTGCTTTCTTTAAAATATGTATATAATCATATGACAAATTAAATATACCCCATGTAAAAAACAATCTTTTTTTAATATATGTGGACAAAACAATTGTTTGTATACATCCAAACAATATATAAAGACAAGGATGGTATTACTTAACACTGACTTTGCAATCATTTATTCAACAAAAAAGAAATAACAGATATACCATTTCCTTCTGTGGAAACGATAAGTAGAAGTACAAGTAGAAGTACCCTTTGCTCTAATGCAGGTAGTTCTTGCTTAACAACCAGAGCTAAGTTATGATGGCCCCCAAATTGTTACTTTTGACCCATCCTTTAAGTTATAATTGCTGCACAGAAAAATGTTTTTTGGCGAAAAACACCACCACCCATTTGGGAGAATGGGTTCACTTAACAGCCACATAACTCACTTAACAACCATATGATTTGCTTAACAAGTGCAGTCAACTGCAATAGAAATGGTTGTCCCATGTCAGGTCACATGGTCATCTGCTTAACAACTGCAAAAAATTTTGATCAAAATTCCAAGACAACGCGGCTTATCTGTAATTGATATTGCCTCCTTTGGCAGAAACAACCTCAAATTGCTATTTCTTATAACTGCCATCTCACAGTGTCTGCCATCCACTGCAATTTATTCCCACTCTTCCATGAAGATATTTTTTCACCTGTGTGATGTTTGAAGGGTTTCAGCCCATTTCAAATTATCCCACAATGACTTGATGGGATTTGCAGTAGATACAGACTTTGACTTGGTCATTCCAGGTTCCTCCATTTCTTTCTTTTTCCTCCAAGCCATTTCTTGAATAATTATTGCAATGTTTAGGGTCGTTAGTCATTGGGTCACTATTTCAGATATATTTACCTTACCTAAACAGAGAAACATAATGACCATACAGGCATAAAAGCAGTGGGAGTGGGAGCAACTTTTGATTTCCTGCCAGTTTCCCATTGATTTTCCTTGTAGAAAATTGGCAGAGAGCATTGGAAATAACTAACATGCAACTATGACTGACTGCTGTAGTACAGCAGTGGGGCAGAACTGAAGCAGCCACAACTTGGCTAAATATTAATTGCACTGGAATAATGAATGATAGATTTTGATGCATTCTTTAAGTTACTCCATCTGAAGTATGTTGATTCCAAAATAGTTGCACAATAATGCACTATTTCTCCCAAATAAAGGTCACCAGCAATCAGACCCAAAAGTTTTAGAGGTATTAACACTTTATGCAACAGAAAAATGTTTATAAAGTCTGCTGAACATAGGGGAGCTTCAATTTTGACCTTCCTCAGCATAAATGATTTAATGATTGTAACAGCAGTGGCTCCTTGGATTAAAGTTGAGGTAACAAATGATGACAAAATGATCTCATACATGTGACTATGATTCAAAGAGAAATATGTTAGCATCATTTTTTTTAAAAAAAGCAACCACTTGTACTACCAAAAGCCAACATTTGATCACTTCTAAATTAACCGTTTTTCACCAGGCTATATGCTTTCCTGTAATGCCAATGTCTAATATGGTAGGAGTGAGGCTAATTGTGCACTCTGGTGCCATGGATGACTATCTTCTCACTTGATTTGGTTTAAGCTTCCAGCATGTAAACAATAACACTCCAAGGATATTAATGGGCCACAATTAAACTCCCTAAATCTGAATTATAGCAGTCATTTGCCTATTCATTCCAAAACATAAATATAAAAGTAATGCATTCAGAAATTATTGTAACTCCAAACTTCTCTTATTCTGTAGTTGCCACTAAATGTTGCACGTACCAGTAAAGCATCCACATTCAATCTAATAGACAGAGCCTATTAGAATAAGAGCTCCATCAAAACAGACATGATCCTAAACAGGGGTGGGTTTCAAAACATTTTACTATCTATTCTGTGGGTGTGGCCTATATTTGTGGGTGTGGCTTGGTGGTCATGTGACTGGGTGGACATGGCCAACTTGATATCACTCACCAGGATTGGGTAAAATGTGATGAAGCTCACTTAAAAACGCTCTTGCTTAGCAACCAACATTTTGAGTTCAATTGTAGTCATATGTCAAGGATTATCTCTGCCATCCTCTGCATGGCAGCCTTGTCCTAGTAAACTCCTTTTCCTTTCTGGCAATTTTCCTATGTTAGAGGCACCAAAATAATCCAAACAATGTAAGGTTTCCTGCTAAAGCAGGGGGTTGGACTAGATGACCTCTGAGTAACCTCTTCTAGCCCTAAATTGTTGTGCATCTTTCTTTCTTTCTCCTTTCCCTCTGTGGGAAGCAACCCCCCCCCCCAAAAAAAAATATTATTCCCAGAAAAGGAAAAATCAAGCTGCTAACAAAGAAACCTGTCTGAGGCTCATTCTACATTAGTGCCATATAGAGATGAGATAATGAGACTATAGAAAGTTTGGCTCCATTCCCACAAGCAGGGAATCATCCAAACACAAAGCCCATATTCCACAAACCCCAAAACTTCAAAAACATAGAACCATATAAGAATCTTTCCTTTTATCAAGTTTGTTGTTCAGCTGACCCAGAAACAAACTACTGAATGTCACTTTGCAAACCTCCTTCCGAGCACCTTTTCAATTTAAAGCAGGAGTCAAGGTTTGCAGCTTTAAGACTTGTAGACTTCAACTCCCAGAATTCCACAGCGAGGCATGCTCAGTTCCAATTTAAAGGGACAGCATTTTTTTCTCCTTTTCTGAATCTCCCGACTGAAAAGTGAGTTTCCTTCTTTCTTTCTTCCTCCCTCTCTCCCCCTCTCTCTCTTATCTTACTTTGTAAAACTTTTTTCCCCTTGCCTGAACCAGCAGGGGGAAAAAACCTTTTTTTTAAAAAGCTTCTGACGAAGCTTGACAGAAGAACAGGTATGGGGTCATGGCCAGGCCACCATTACTACCGGTCCTATTCAGTACGCTAGATTTTCACTACCTCTTCTGGCATACCGGACTGTACTGAGAGGAATCCACCTCTGATCCTAAAGTTATTCCCGTAAAAAAAATGGCATTTAAAGTCTTTGCAATAGCTTTCCTTATCTTTTCTTCCTTATACAAATTATTTTTAAAAACAGCACATATATAACATTAAAAATATCAACTTCTCAAATTTATCAGCATCTCTGTTGTCTAAGTTAAATCTGGACTACAGAAAAATAAAGACACTAAAATTCATATTTGGGGGGAAAGACTATGTTAATAGAGTACATTCCCCATGTTGTCCTTTGGAGAAGATAAATTCAGCATAATGTATTTTATTTTTATTATTTTATTTATAAAATTTATAAAAAATTCCTGTTTGCTTATTGTTGAATAAATTATTTATATGGAAGCTCCAGCTATTCATGCAACATAAGAATTTTCAAATATTTTGTGTTTCTTTAGTAATGACCTGTTCGGGCAACCTAAAGAATTAAAACTAAAATGAACAATAATAAAATGGTGGTGCAAAGGTCAGACAACTGAAAAAAAAGTATCAAAAAAGTAATTATTGGTCTAAAAGCTTGTAGGTGATTTCATCCACTAGATATGCCAATACCCTGGGAAAGGTTCTTCTGATTATACAGAATTATTATGAAACAAATGTGAATTCATTTAAATCCTTGTCAATGATTTGGAAATATAAAGGACATTGTGCAGCACATATCCAAAATTAGTATTTTTCCACAAACTATGTAACAGAAACAGCAAAAGGAGGAGAGGGAGGGGCATAGTTTCCCAATTTAAAGATCTAATTTTCAACTAAGGAGTAATTTCACAGCAGGATCCTTTTGTTTATTTCCCAGGATTGTATTTTTAGGAAGAATATAAAAGTATTCATTTCATTTTATGACTGCTTTTTGCAGCAAAAAGAGTTTTGCATGATCAGTGAGAGACTACTATTGTTACCAATATCTAAAAGAAACCCCACAGTCCCAATTTTTTGATTCCCAGCAAAAGTACCATCAGTTAGCATAAAATTAATTACATTTCTTAAGACTTAATTTTGGGAAAATGCAAGTAGAATTGCAGCTTTAGCAAAATAGCATTTACTGTATAATTGATTTAATACTTTGTAAACTTTTTTTTTTTTTACAATCTGCAAGTTATCATTTTAATATGTCCTTTTTTAAAGTCGTCCAAAAGAAATTTTTATCAAGTTAATCATGAGATGGCAGTATTGAATTCTAATACTTTGCAACAAGATAGAATAGAAAAGGATTGCACAATGAGACATCAGCAATACCTAAATAAACTGTGATCAATCTGGTCACACATAAAAACCTCTTTTCAAAAATCAAACTTGGGATGTTGCGGCAAAGGGAATCCAGGTATCATATGTATCACACATCCCAACTCAGAACAGAACATTTCTATCTAAGATGGGTATTTTCTTCTACCAAGCAGGCAATGGAATGGAAGGAATGCACCTAGAGCAGTGAGGGAAGAAGGACAGCCATCTGACCAGTTATATTAGACAAATCACTCTTGGTGACTGAAGGCAAAACAGACATTCCAGCCAGATTGCCTTTACATCCACTACTGAAAGTATCAGTGCTTAAATTTAGCACTGCTTCCATATATACGTGCACAGAGAAGCCACAATTATTTTCCACCTGATTAAAATATTAATAGGATTTTACATTGTGGGTGATAATTCAGCAATCATCAGAGGTCACATGACAGATGTTATGCACTGGTACAAATTTAAATCGTCCAACATGAAACAGATTGTGGAAGTCATTTCTATGATAAATTGTAATTATGTTTTAATTAAAAATAGGCTTGCTGAATTATTAAAGTACAAGTTGTATCATGCCTTCTCTAGGTTTATAGTTTCCATATCCAAATGTAAGTTCCAGTTCAGAATTCAGAAATGTGGATCAATGCAAAAAAATAACAATAATCACAAGTGTCAGTATTGTAAAGAGGACCATAAACAATGTACAATGGCAACATTTAACACCAAAAGTGTATTATAATAACAAAAGTTTGAAATACTATTACTTGCATTCTGCATATTAATGCTGAAAAGCGATTTATTAGAGTTCCATGCATGATTAAAATCTTTAAAATAAATGCAAAAAAGTTGAGACATGGTATTTTGATGGATTTTTATATAACTTAATTCAGTATCTTCAATCAGTGATTTTTTTTTTTAAAATTAACATAGGAAGTCTTGCAAAAGGGAGACCAGAAGCAATTTGCTGTAAGAAACACACCTCAACAGTCTGAAATAAAGCCAAGACTAAGCAAGTTTAGGTAGAATGCATTATAAGCCACAAATCTATGGAATAAACACTTTGATTGCACTAAGTTATGTAAGGCCTGCATACCAAGTTCATTGTGCAAACTGCTGCTGCCGACAGCAGATGCATTGTCATGTGTTGCTTCTAACTGGACACTCCCATTTCTCACCAGCAAGGAGGTGCTAGCGCTGAGCACTGCTGCCTGGGAATGGGGGCGTGACTGGACTTTGACTTTGGCTGTGGACTGCTGCCCTTGTTGAACATCTTGAAGGCTACGAAAGAACATGGATGGTGGAAACATTACAGGGAAGAACACAGAAACAGCAGCTAGAAACCAAGTTAACACTGCATTTTGAATTAAGGTTAAAAGAACACTGCAATACATTGAACTAGCCAATCTTTGATGAACAACACTGTTACAACATATCTAGGGAGTCAAACAAACAAAAGTTAAAATTAGCTGGATAACCATTCCAAGCAGTTTCTACACTAACTTGGGATTATTACTTCAAAATATTTTCTGTTTCATATAGTTCTCTTCTAAGCAGTATTGGAAAGTGCAATTATATCATGATGTCAATGTCTAATGTAATATGGTAAGTTTTTAAAATGTAAACTTTGCTTTTTTTGTGTGCTAACGAACAGCAAATGTTACTCTTTCATGTAAGTTTAAAGTAAACTTTGAAAAGACTATAAGGAATAAACGCAGTTGCTCAACTTAATTTAAAAATAATATAAATCTGTTGCACTAAAAATCACTTCGTTTTATTTATTTCATTTTATTACCTATTTATATAGAAGAAAACAAATTATTAGTACATGTCCAATTTCCCTTTTTTTCTACATTCCCCTCAAATGTGTTTTGTTTAAAGGTCTGTCCAAGATAAATTCAGAGATGTACATAGTGGTAAAGATAAAAACAAGAAAAATTCTTGTTGTACAAATGAATACATATGTACTACATAAAGTCGAATTTTTCCAAATGCTGAATAAAATTGTGATATAGAAAAATTAGAGCACTGTGAAATAAACCCATTCTGCATGCAGGTATCTGATAACCTATGCTTTAGTTTAATTTCAGTTGTGACTTACAATCATAGTTATGCATCCTTGTTTTATTGCATAGAACTATAGCAATCTACCTTATAGGTAACTAAGAAATCACATTGAATAAGATTATGTACAGTCTTTCAAGTCTATGACTGCAATATTAGCATATTTAGTATATTATGATTGCAATACAGCAACTTCCCAGGTTAAGAAGGTCCCAGTACAATATTACTTATTACATAATAATATTATGCAAGTTTACATAAATTCGACTTGGGAACAGAACTCATTCTTCAATTGGGTCCTATCTGTATAGCACATTTTAAGAAGAAGGCAGAAATTATGTATATTACAACTGAATTGAATTCTACTGGATTAAATAACTCTTACTTCTTGGTAAATTAATAATGGATACAGTATATGTATTTATATATCCCTGATATATAAATGCCTTGAAGTATCATTATTCTGTGTTCATTTATTAATTTCATATGAATAAAACTGCAATTATTTGCAGAACGCATTATTTTTTACAATATATAGTATTATATATGTAAAAGAAATATTGAATTTTAAAACAATCAGATTAAAAATATTAATGCTAACATAATATATATATATATATATATATATATATATATATATATATATATA